GTTATTGTTGACTGTCTTTTCTATTCACATCTCACATAATCTCTTCAGTGAAGTGCCTGTTCAAGTCTTTTGCTCATATTTGTAATTAAGTGTGGAAAGTTCTTTATGTATATGAAATACATACATTGTTTTCAAATATTTTCTCTAACTTTCAATTTTTCATTCTCTGAACAATGCCTTTTAAAGTGCAGAATCTCTTAATTTTGACCAGTTCAATATTTAAATTTTCCTTTATTGGTTGTGGCTTTAGTAGCACTACTTAAGAAATTTTTACCTAACTTACAAATTTACACCTGTGTTTCATCCCAGATACTGTATAGTTCTAGGTTTTCCCTTATGTTTATGATACATTTTGTTTTAATACTTATGTATGCATCTAAGTTCATTTTTTTCATAAATTATTTGTTGAAAAGACTTTCTATTATCTTTTCTCTTAAATGAAAATCAATTGATATTATTTATGTGGGATTATCATAGTACTTTAAATGAGAAGTCAAATAGTATTAGTTCTTCAACTTTACAATTATTTTCTGACATTTTTTGTCTATTTTATTTAGGTCCTTAGCCTTTTCTATAAATTTTAGGACCCATTTGTAAATTTCTGCAAAAATGGGGGGAAAAATCTGCTGAGGCTTTGATTTTAATTCCATTGAGTCTGTGTATCAATTGGGGAATCGTTTACATTAACAAATATTGAGCCCTCTACCCATGAACATGTTCCATACATAGCCTTTTATCTCTTCTGTGTGTTCATGTGGTGCTAGAGATTGAAACTAGGGCCTTGTATATGCTAGACAAGTGTTCTAACTAAGCAACAGTCCCAACTCTTTTATTTTAGATATGATTTGCAAGTGTGTTCCTACATTCTGTGAATTGTCATTTGCCTATGTGACTAGTTTGTCCTATCATCACTCTTAATTGTCACCCTGTGTGTTTATATTTAACTTAGATTTCTTATGGGTAGAATGTAGTTAAGTCGTCTAAGGTTTTTAATGCAAGCTTGACAGTCTGTGCCTTTTAGTTTGTATTTAAATTTTGTATTTCATAACAATATTGATATAGCTAGATTTCTACCATCTTATTTTGTTTTTCTGTTTCTGCTCTCACAAGAAACGTTTTTTGATATTTCATTTTATCTTTTTGTTGCTATATTTACTATATATCTTACCAGTAAATCTTAGGATTTATATCTATTTTTAGATGTAAATAACTTTAGAACCTTAGAACGATATATTTCTCTTTTTCTGGGTTGGTGCTTTTATTATCACACATCTTATAGCTGTCTACTTGTATCTGTTTATACTATGAGTTTTACTTGTTTAATTTTAATTCTCTTTTAAGAGGTTTAAATAAAAATCACATTGTATATTTGCCTACTCTTTTGAAATTGTATAAGGCCAATTCTTTCTTTTCTAGAAATCTAAATTATCATTGAATACCATTTTCCATTTTTTATGATGGACTTCCCTTAATATTTTATTAACTTCTATGTAGAAAAAGTATTGAAGACAGGCATGGTGGCTCATGCCTGTAATCCCAAATACTCAGGAGGCAAAGACTGAGAAGATCTCAATTAGAGGCCAACCTTGACAAAAAGTTCTTGAGACTCTTGCAACCAACAAGTTGGACATGGTGGTTTAGGTCTGTAATCTGATCACCTGTGAGGCATGAGTAGAAGAAACATGGTCTGAGGCTGGCTCTGAGCAATAAAACATGTTACTCTATCTGACAAATAACTAAAGCAAAAAAAGGCTATAGGCATGGCACATTTCAAATAATCATCAGGCCCTAAGGAAAGTATCGCTAGAGGAAAGAGGAAGAAATGAAACAGCTGGCACAAAATGACAGAACTCTGCCAACATAAATTTAGTAAAATAAAAGATTGAGAAGATATGCTTATAACATCAAAGTAACAGTAATGTGAATACAATAATAATACAGTCAATGTGTTGAGCTTTGTATAGGCAGGAACTAAACACTGTCTATATTCTCATTTAATCCTTGATAACCATTTGAAATAATACACTATTACTCCCACTTCACAAAGAATATATAAGAAAAGCAGGGAAAGGGCTAGTTTCCCAAAACAATCAGAGGTCTAAAATTCAATATGAAAAGAAGTGTGATATCAAAGAAGCATGAATAGCTGAAAAAACATTAAAGTTTCTCATAATCAAAAGAGTGAGATCATTTAAAGCTATTCTGCTGGCAAGAATAAGAAGTAGTATGCTAATAATTGAAAATATATAAAAGAGAAACTCATACATGATTGGAAATACACACTGGTACCATTTTAGAGGACAATTTTACTTTACATTTAAAATATACATCTTTGACCAGATAACATCACTGGAAATCCTCATACAAGTGCCCTAGGAACAATAATGTGTGTATGTGTACCTACCTCTGTGTTAGTGTGGTTTTTATTGGAGAACACCCAGCAATATATTGATCCTTAGCCAAACTGAATTTGGTATTTTAGTTTTTGTTTCTAAGGATATATGTGCTACCATATTTGTATGTGACTAGAAGGAGAATGAAGTTTGAAAATATTCATACCAATTCATTAACAATGTTTATCCTTGGAAAGTAAGAATTTTTATTTCTTAAATGTCTCTGTTCCTTGAATTTTACAATAATTTTGTAATTGGTTTGAAAAATTAATTTTAAAAACAATACATTGTTACTGCCAAGCACAGAGAAATTGATTTGAAAGAATCAACATTCTTCCTAAGAGCATCAAAACCAAATACCTCAAGGTTTTTCCCTCCTGTCCAAATCACTGTATTTTCACAGGTAAAATTCTGGACTTAGCCTTATTGAATTCAGTAGAATTTAAAACAACTGAACTTTCACAGGCCCCAAGTTCTACACTTAGTTTATATAAACTCTTAAAACATTTATCATTTTTGGGCTGGGATGTAGCTCAGTGGCAAAGCGCTTACCTAGCAAGTGCAACATCCTGGGTTTGATCCCCAGTACCAAAAAAGAAAAGACAAAAAAAATACAGTTAAAGCATTTATCATTTTTCCAAATGCATAATATATACCAAAAATTATGGCCCAACTATAATGGTGAATAATTAAATCTATGAAATAACTTGAAAAGAGAAATAGAGCACATGTCCAACCAGGGGTTGACTATAGAAAGCTTGCATTATCACCTGTTCTCATCCGTGAATATAATTACCTAATAATCTAAAGTATGCTACATGTCTGAAATAGCTAATAAGGTTATTTAGGTAAAAGACAGGATAGGTAAATCACCTGAAAAAATACTATAAATTATTATTTTAAAATAAACTTTATACAGGAAACAAAGAAGAAATAATTTATTCTTTCTAATAGAATAATACTGTTACATGTTAGTTGTTGAGGATCTACATCTCACAATTTTCCAAGTAAATGTAACAACTCAAGAGTTCTTTCCTCATTAACTAGAGAATTGTTCTAGTAAACTGTTGGGATTTTTTATTTGAACATGTAGGGTAATCTTTATTAATACATCATGCAAATTGAATAATTTGTTCATAGGCTCCCAACCCATATTAACAACTTTTAATTTTTTAATAACTGATCCAGTTTAGATTTTCCAAATCAACAACTCAGGACTTTGTGCATTTTAGGCAGACTTTCTACTGCCTCCAGCCATTTTTCCCTGGTTATTTTTGAAGTACTATCTCAGTTTTTGTCCAGGCAAGCCTGAAAAACAGTCCTTCTATTTTAGCTTCCCACTATAGCTGGAATAGCACAAACTACCATAGCCTTCGCTGTTGATATAGAGATCTCACAACCTTTTCTGTCTAGGCTGGCCGAGAACTGTTATTTGGAGAATACAGGCTCATGCCACCTCCTCAATCTTTTTCACCTGGGTTGGACTTGGAAATTTCCTCCTTCCCTGTGTCTGCCTCTCATGTATCCATAATTACAAGTATGAGCCACTAGCGCCTGGCCTCAAAGTAGTATTTTCATATTGAAAAAAATCTGTCTTTAGAATTTCATTTATTAGAAAATATAATAAAAATTATGCCATATATAGCTATAGTGGTCTATGGCACATAATAATCTAGGAGCATATAAGGAAATGAAAAAATACATACACTACATGTATATACCCACACAGATATGTACAGAATATGCCTTCACAGAAAATCTATTCTGTAAAGTCATGGTTTACACAAGAGACTTTTATGTATAAGAAAAACTAAATACAAACATGGCATTCTCTTGTACTGTTATACTAACTGGTTACCAGAAATTCTCCCAAATACTTCCCATCCAAATTTAATTACAACTTCACAATAATCTTGGGCTATAAGTAGTTTTATTACACTTAGAAATAAAGAGCTGAGTCTCAGAGAAAAGTAAAATTAAAATGGCTTGCTGTAGGGCACATATCTGCTAAGTGACAGAGGCAATATTTGGCTCCAATAATCTGGCTCTGGAATCTAAACTGATAATTTCTGGAGTGCATATCAGAGGGAGAATCTAATAACTGCAAAGTGTATTCCTTCTGTTACCTGAGAAGACATCTGTCCACCTGCTGCCTAGAAGGGCTGCTGAAATTCTGTGCTTCAAGACTTACTGTTTAGGTTTACATGACTTAGAATTTCAGGGCACCACTAATTATAGTTCAGATATTCATCTATCAGTAATATAAATCTAAATGGATAATGACTTAGACCAGAAACTTGGTAATGGAACATAGGGTCAATGACTGGGAAGTAAGAATAGAGGAAGGAGAGATGGATTTACAAATCTATGTAAAGAAAAGAAGCCAGCAACTTACTTGACTCAAAAAAAAAAAAAAGATTTTGTCACAGTCTTAAAAAAAGAAATCCTTTTAGTTTTCTTACCACAATATTAGTATAATATGAGTTGGTGGGAAATATTCAATGTAATTTCACCATATGCCACTTACTATCTCCTTGATTCTCAAAAATCCAGCACAATTCTGCAGAGCACCGTTATATTAACTAAATGCCTTTGTGTGTCTTACAGCAACCAGCAGGCCTTCTTACTGGAGAATGTCCCCTGCAATAATGCAAGCTGTGAGGAGGTACATCGGATGTTTAAAGTCTACTGGGAGCTGTCAGACTTAAATTTAATCAGAGATGCCATGGTTGCCACCTTTTTTGACATTTACGAAGATGTAAGTCCAGAGTTGTGTGTGCGTGTCTGTGTGTGTGTGTGTGTGTGTGTGTGTGTGTTGCTCGTAGTTTGATGCCATCTACTTCATCTCTCTCTGTAGCTTCCCTCTGTTTTTTGTTGTTGTTGTTTCTTTTTTTGCCAGTCCTGAGGCTCAAACTCAGACCCTAGACCAGCCCTCAGTGTCTTTTGCTCAAAGATAGCACTCTACCCCTTGAGCCACAGAGCCATTTCTGGCTTTTTCTGTGTATGTGGTACTGAGGAATCGAACCCAGGACTTCATGCATGGTCAGCAAGCAGTCTACCACTAAGCCATATTCCCAGTCTCTTCCCCCCATCTGAAAAAGACAGGTAGATCACATAATGGAAGCAAATTATGTTATTTAAGAGAGCTTCTTTTGATGTTAAATAACAAAGGTAACAAATGTATTGATAAAACTGCTGATCAGTACAGTGAAACAGGAAACTAGCATCTCAATTTATGCTTATTTGTATTAAACCCCTAAAAAAATTATGTTTTGAGACTGGCAAATGTACATGCTGAGCTGCAGAGCAAAGCAGAGGCAAGTAGTACATGCTCACAATGGCAGAAAAAGGCATTCAGCACAGATTTTTTTCCTTTGGCACTCGAAGCAGCACCTATCAGTGCAGATTCCTGTCTTGGTTGCAAGGTGATCTAATAAAAGGCTATCGAGGCTCCTGATTTCTCCTTTCTAAACAGAAAAATTTTTGCCACTCAAAAGATAATAAATTTGGGAAAAACAAAAAATAAACATGGTAATTCCAGAGTTAATATATACAAGTGTGCTCTTCATTGCAAGATCCTTTATTTTAAAATGTTAAATGCACATCAGGACATTTATGTCTCCTGTTTTTTAACTTTAGTTTGTTTTGGTTCTAATGATAGGCTTATTCTCAATTATGTAAGTTGTTCAGATCCTTCCTTCTTTTTTTCTGTTTTTCCTGTTACTGAATCTCATTTCACTTTTTTCATTAGCAATTTCCAAACATAAAAACAATTGGCAGAAATATCACAGGAGAAAAAAAATCAAGAAAATTGGCTACAAATCAGTTTTAATTACTATATATCACAGGCATTACAAATGAAATTTAAAATTGTTTTTAATCTGCCAAATAAAAAAATCACTTTTTAAATACATTTTTATTGTAAAAATACTGTACAGAGGGGTTACAGTTACATGAGCAAGGTAATGAGTACATTTCCTATCAAGCATTTGTTTTTCCCCTACCTTCCCTTCCCTCCCACCTTGACAACTACACTCCCCTCCTCTCTCTCCTCCTCCCCCTCCCCACCTAAATTATAAAGTTCGTTTTTCAACATAGTATCTTGTATATTTCATCATTACAATGGGTCAAACTGTATCCCTATTTAAGCATTTTGTTTTTTCCCTTCCCCTCCCCAAGCTAGAGAAGTGTATACACAAGATGCAGGGCATCCACATCAAATACAGTGAAAACAGGGGTTATACCATGGGGGAGAAACATAAAAAGAAACAAAAAAAATCACATGGTACATTATACATTATACATGGTACATTAGGAACAATAGCAAGAAAGAAAAAACCACCTGTGTCCCTATCTTGGGGTTCGTTTCACTTAATATCATCTTAACTGTATAAGGCAGTGTGTCACCAAAATATCTCTTGAAAAATAGAGCATAGTCAATATACTGGAAACGTCCACATTGCTAGAATATTTTTTTAAAAAATAGCATAGCTAGGCGCAGGGGGCTCATGCCTATAATCCTAGCTACTCAGGAGGCTGAGATCTGAGGATCGCAGTTCAAAGCCAGCCTGGGCAGCAAAGTCAGTAAGACTCTTATCTCCAATAAAAAAAAAAAACTAGAAAACTGGAAGTAGCGCTGTGGCTCAAGCGGTAGAGCACTTGCCTTGAGCTGAAGAGCTCAGGAACAGCGCCCAAGCCCCGAGTTCAAGCCCCACAACCGACCAAAAAAAAAAAATATCATAAATTACTTGCCTCATGATAAGAGCCAGGAGTGTGACTTTCAGTGAGCACAGAGTTTTCTTCAATAAAATTAGCTTTTGCCATTTCAAAGGGGGGGAATAAACATAACATTCAGGACTAGCAAGGGCAGATTAAAAGATACTTGTCTCTCTTGGTTTTAAAAGACTCTGTTCCTATAAGAGTCCTTTAAAAATTTAAAGGCAAATTTCAGCAAAAGGAAATGTACCTAAATACTAATAATTAAGACTAAAACTGATGTTTTTTATTTTGTTTATATTTTATTATTCAGAGTTGTATGTATGTACATACTTTTTAATAATTTTGTTTTAAACACCATTGTGAATAAATAAGATTAATTCTTAAATGATAAGTATGCTGTTAGCTTTCTATCAATATAACAAAATGCCTGAGATAATCAACTTAAAAGAATAAAAGTTTCATTCTGGTCTTAGTCTATTCTTAGTTCTTTTTTCAGTCTACACTTGTTTTTCTCAGTCACTTTGAGTGTATTGCAGGAGTCCATGGTAAAGGAAGGAAGCTGTTCACTCCTTGGCAGTTAGGAAGTAAAGAGAGGCACAAGGAGCTAGGGCCATAATATCGCCTTCTAAGACACACCTTCTTAACTCAACTTCCCCCCATACTAGTCTCCACCTCATAAAGGTCTACCAACTCCAAATAGTGCCACCAGCTGGCAACCAATCCTTAAGCACATGTCCTTTGAGAGACATTCATCCAAACTGTAACACAGGCCATACATTTTACTGGTCATTGTTAATAACTTATTTTTAACCACTTTTTATTGTTGTTTTGTTTTTCAGGGAATTTTAGACATCATAATATTAAGTAAAGGATATACAAAGAATGATTTTGCCATTCATACACTAAAAAATAACTTTGAAGCGGATGCTTATTTTGTTAAAGTCATTGGTGAGTATTTTAAGTATTAACAGTTTAATTTCTCTTCATCTTTTTTCTGTCTTTCTCCATATATTTCAAAGAGAAGTAACATTCTCATATTTGTACAGTGACTTGATTTTCAGGATTACACCAAAATGTACAAAAAGCATAGAAGCAAATTAATAACATGGGGTATAAATAATCTTTTCATTCCAACCTCAAGAATAGATAATAAACTTACCTAGGCATGGATAATCCCATAACTGGAGGAAGATGGGGGCATGGGCAGAACTGAGACAAAAATAGTTTAAGGCCAGCGTAAGCTAGATAGTGAGTTCCAGATCAACCTAGTCTACAAATCAGGAACCTGTTTCAAAAACTTGAAGATTAAGCCAGGCACCTATGGCTTATGCCTATAACCAAGCTATTCTATTCAGCCTTAAGGCTAGTCTGCACTAAAGACTGTATTCTCAGTTCTCAGTAAAAAAAAAAAAAAATGTCTTCTGTTCTTTTGCTACCAAGCATATGATGCTTTTGCATTCTGTCTTTGAAGCTCTATGTTCCTTCTTAGGACACATATTCATAGAATTGGCCTAGCAGTGATAAAAAGGTTCAGATTGTGTATTATGGATAATATACCAACCAAAGAAGGCAGTTTTCAGTGTCAAGCAGAAAATGGTGTGACTTTTTTTTAAGAATTTGGAAATTGTCCATGTGGAAAATTGCATGCATTTAACTTAAGATCCTGAATTTACTCATTTATGTTTTTTAAAGTTAAAAAAAATCAGAGAATCCTGGAGATGGGAAAGGCCTCAGAGGTCATCTTGCACAAGTCCAACAATTTCTAAATTTCTTACAGATCACTGCGAGAAATTACAAAGTAACACAGACTCCAAAATGCAAAGTAACACAGACTTCTTTTATGAGTCCATTGACTTGTTAAAAAATTTATTCTACCTCAAAACATAATGTTGATCCTTAATTACTTCTATCAATTGATCCTGTTTCATGCATAATAGGTCCTTCTTTAGTATTAGATGAATAAAAAGTAAAAATGTAATCCGTCCTAATAAAATTGTTGGACTTTTTTATCTTTACAAGCAGATTCTAAGTCTGTAATAACATAGCACTTTTATGTACATCATCACATGGTTCAGAACAATATAGACTTTTTAAATTAGGTAGTAAATGCCAGTTATGGTGGCTCAGCTACTTGGAAGGCTGGGATTGGGAAGATCCTGACAAAATATTCATGAAACACCCCCGGCATAAAACGCTGAGCAGGGCTGGGAAGGTGGCTCAATGGTAGAGCACTAGCCTTGCATGCATGAAACCCTGGGTTCGATTCCTCACCACCACATAAGCAAATGAAAAAAGCTGGAAGTGGCTCAAGTGGTAGAGCTCACCTTGAGCTGAAGAGCTGAGGGACAACCTCCAGGCCCAGAATTCAGGCCCCATGAGCGGACCCAAAAACAAACAAACAAACAAAAAAAAGCTGAGCATAAATATTATACTAAATGGTGAAAAACTGAAACCAAGGATTTCTATTCTCTCTATTCCTACTCAATGTAGTACTAAAATTTCTAACCAGAGCAATAAGGCCAGAGAAAAGAAATATTAAATGGATCCAAATGAGGCAGGAAGAAGTCCAGCTATTCCTGTTTGCAGATGTTTCTATATCTGAGTAACCCTAAAGACTACTTCAAAACCCCTAGAGCTGATAACACATTTAACAAAGTACCACAATATAAAGTCACACCAAATCAGTAGCTTTTCTGTATACTAACTGTGATGAAATTGAAAGAGAAATATAGCCAAAACAAAATCAGAAAAACTGGAAATAAGCATAACCAGTGAGATAAAGGACCTTTAGAATGAAAACTATAAAACTTTGAAGAAAGAAATTGAAGAGACCAGAGTGTGGAAAGACCTCCACGTGCAGAGATTGGCAGAACTAATATCGTTTTTTTTAATGACCAAACAAAACCTACAAATCCAATGCAATCAAAATTCCAAAGTCAATCTTCACAAAAATGGAGAATACAATCAAAAAATACCAGGCACCTGTGGCTCATGTACATAATCCTAGCTACTCAGGAGGCTGATATCTGAGGATCGTAGTTCAAAGCCAGCCCAGGCAAGAAAAGCCGTGAAACCTTTACCTCCAAATAAACCACCAGAAAACCGGAAGTGGCACTGTGGCTCAAGTGGTAGAGTGCTAGCCTTGAGCAGAAGAGCTGAGAGACAATGCCCAGGCCCAGAGTTCAAGCCCCATGACTTACCAAAAAAAAAAAGTGTGTGTGGAAGCACAAAAGGCCTCAAATAGTCAGAAGATCCGGAGGAGAAAGGCAGGGGAGACAGGGGATGGTAGGGGAAGCAAAGGAGGAAGCAACAATGGTTGATAAGAAGAAATGTACTCATTATCTTGCCCATGTAATTGTAACCCCTCTGTATGCTATTTTCACAATAAAATAATAATAATAATGCTAGAGCCTAAGTCAGGACAGGTATCATTGATTGGTACTGATAGCTGAGCTGTAATAATCTTGAAGATTGTCCACACATCCTAAATTGAAAATACCAATAACATACCTTATAGAAAGGTCATAGAAAATAAGATACCAATTTAAAGCAATCATTTGAAGGAAAAAGAACCTTCTAGTCATTTTGTTATGCCCTGCTACACTTTGATTAGTTGTTTGTCTTAAGTCAGAAAGTTTTGAGTATGTAATTACTCTTTACAAGCCATGTCCAGAATTGATTGTGCTCTAAAATTACTGTTATTCTAATGATACAACCAGCCTATGCTAAATACCATTGTTTTTTAATTAAGAAGATTTGGGTACTTAAGCTTCTAGAGTGACCCCTACTAGCAAATTGCTAGGTGGTCTAGCTGTTCAGATTCACAGTATTTGTGGGAAGGCAAAGAGGCCTTGTATATTTCCAATTCATGAGATTCCCTAGTTCACCTGAATCAAATCATTCTTAGCTCTAATTTTTTTCTCCTATTGCTGTCAGCTACATTTTGAGGTTCCAAACCCCAACTTATGTCAACTATCTAACAAAATATATATGAATTTAAATTTGCCACAGATTTTTCAAATTGTAAAACTATCTTCACTTTTACTTACGAAACAAGATAACATCTTTCCTTTGAAATTTATTTTTCTTCCTGACTCCAGGTTTTATTTCATTTCATTTATTTCATTTTAGATGAACTGTAACCCCTTCCCTGAGAGTAACTAACAAGGAATACTAGAGCCCATAACTTGGGGAGAGGGCAATAAAAGAAGGGTGGGAAAGATGGAGAAAGACAGAAAGAAAGCAATAGAAAAAAATATATCCATGGAGTGTCTAACGTAATGTTGTCCATGGTTAATAGTATTTATGTATGAATATTGCTATCTTTTGGGTCCATTTGTCATTTGTGTAAAGTAGCTAATTTACACTGAATTACCGAGCAAGGATTCAAATTTTTATGCTAGAAATTTCTTTCCTCATACATGGACAATTGCATGCTGTATGACTTAGTGTGAAATGATGGAATCACAAGCATTAGTAGTTTAAAAGGAACAGGTTTTGAACAGTATTAACCATGTTTCAAGCCAATTAAATCTATAATAACCAGTAATTCACAAATTTGTTAAATATTTTGATTGCTGTTTTTTCATGTAATTTTGTTCATAGGCTATCTTCATTTGTATTTCATTAATCTTTGTGTTTCAGTTTGCTTTTGAAAATTTTGAAATTAATTTTAAAATTACCCTGATGGAAGGGGTTATAGCTCAGTGGTATAGTAGCTGAGGCCCTGGCTTCAATCTCTAGAATCACAAACAAACAGAAAGGAAATTATTTGGGGAATCATTTATTTTAAATGATATTTTATAAAATTATATATATAAATGATTTATATAAAATGATATTGATCCCCAGAGGCTCACATCTCTACTCAGGAGGCTGAGATCTGAGGATCACAGTTCAAAGCCAGCTGGAGCAGAAAAGTCTCTTATCCAATCAGTTACCCAAAAAGCCAAAAGTGGAGCTATGGCTTAAGTGGTAGAGTGCTACTCTTGAGTACAAAAGATCAGGGATAGCACCTGGTCCCTGAGTTCAAAACCCAGGATAGGTATACACACAAAAAAAGATTATTATAAAATATAGTTATAAGTCTTAAATTTTGTAATGTTATAAATAACAACATATTGTTACAAAAGCTTATGAAATGGCTAAAAATCTTCAAACTTCGAGTATCTTTTAGCAAGTTCACCAAGTCACTTAGTAAACAACTAGTAACACTTGAAGTAAACAGTGTAGAGAAACAGGCAAAAAAAAAAAATCAATCAAAACAATCTTTGCCTTTAAGAAGCTCACACTATTCAACACCACAAATCATAGGAGGCTGGAATTATATGCAGTATCTTTCTTGTTCAAGTTTCCTTTGCCACAATGAACCAGTTTCCTATCTCAGTGAACCTTTCCAGTTGATATTATAGTTGCATAAGAAAAATGTTTTACTTTACTCATAACCATACATTTTTAGATCAGAAATTTAAGTGTCCTGTTTTTAGAAAAGTAGACTTTTGCTTTAATAGTAAATTCAGCCTTCATACATTTAGGGGTCTTTTTTTCCCCAGACTAAAGCACAAATGATGGAATTTTTATTCTGATATCACTGGGGAAATTATATTCTTGCACATATTTAATAGACAACTCATAACTTGACATGATGAATTCTTCAAAATTTCAAGATGACATTGTAGAAATGCTACAGAGTCTACCTTATTTTTCTATTATGCAATAGAACTTTATTGATAAGATTTTGATTTGGTATTTTATGTTTTTATGATAAAAATAAGTATGTTTTATAAAAGACTTGGAACCTAAACACTTTTAAAAGTTGTACTCTGCCATTTGGTAATTAGACAGCTACAATAGTGTGGAGCATTCTCCACTTGGCTTCTGCTAATTTCTAAAGTTTCAAGTTCACTCCTGAAATCCAGAATTGTAGAATCTTTATTTTTAAAATGTAT